TTGTACCACATCACTTACTTCCTGAACTGTTTGTATGAGTGGGTTTTTGTCCTTGACAGTTTGTGGTTTGGTTTGGGGGTCTGCCACGAATCACAAACCAAACTGCATTTTTCTGGTTCATGCCTATCCCTAGTCAGACCACATTTCCCAGGATAATTAACTAGGACTGGCTAGTCTATTGTGTACCTGAGTCCTGCTCTGGCACAGCATTCCAGTTAAGAATGAAATCGACACGGAAAGGCCCTTCTTATAGTATTTGAAGTAGTTAGACTTCAGTGGGAAATTCCATTATTGGCCCAATTCCATGCAGAATTGAGGATCTGCAGCAGGATTGCATCAAAGGTGAGGGGTCTGGTTTCCCATTGGTGAATTTGATTTTTGGGTGAGTGCAGATGCATGAAATGGCTGAAATGGAAGTCTAAGTATGGACATGTAAAATGATGTGCTGGATACATATAGATAGCATAAATAGGGAGATTAAGTTACCTGACAGCTGGTCATCTCAGGTCTCTTGAACAAAGACAGAGCAGTGGCTTGATGACCTTCCCTGTACACGTCATCAAATTATTAGAGGAGGTTGTGTTGTGAAGGAGGGACCTGGGAGGGTGACATGGAATTATGGAGGAATAGAATGTGCAGGAAATGAGTGGGAAAGCAAAAAACAGTGGTACATACACATGTACAGCAGACATTTCAAACAAAACTCTGCAGTGAATCAGAAATGCGTGGAGAAAAGTTTTTTAGGTTTTTTTGCAAAAAGGACCCTGATTTTTTTTCTGAAATGGTTTAAAAAAAGTTAGCAATCAGCAGCCAAATCAACTGAGTGTGAAATGGTTAAAAATCCATTTGCTATTGGCAGCCAAAATAGTGTCCATAGGCAGTATGACAGTTCCATAGATCTCAGCTAATGTCTTAAGTCTCTCTATTCTAATTATGAAACTTTGTAATACTCAGGAGCCATCTCTGAGCAATTGCTCTGTGCTTTCCAACCTGTGGAATGCAAAGCCTTTGAAAGTGGGTTGCAGGCCAACCCTTCGTAATGGCTGCTCCTGCCCTTTGCATCACTCACTTTCTCCCCTCTTCATCCTTGCAAACTTCTAACATTCTTGCCTCCCCCCTTCTTTTGCAACAATAATGGGAAGGAAGCCCTCTGAAAACTAGTAACTTTGTGGTAGTAGCTAGAAGAAGGGGGAGCTGGATAGTTGTCAGGAGCTATTCAGCAGATGGAAAAGCAAGAGGAAGGCAGAGGTCGAATCTGCATTTGCATTTATTTATTTATTTATTTATTTTTGAGATTTTAATCTCGCCCTACCCGGTGGCTCAGGGCGGCTAACAACAAGTTTAAAAATTGGGTACAATAAAACCATATTTCATATATAATAAAATCTGGTGCTACAAACATCTACATAGAATTTTCAAAAAAACCCCACAGCAACCCACATTTGCAGCCAGTGTTCTTGATAGCGAGAGCGCCAGGAGCAATATTTCCACAGCACAGTCGGACGACATCTACTCCCCAAAGTACGGTAGATGGATGGTATCACCGCGTGGTGGTATAGCGGCGGCTCCTACCCAAAGGCCTGGTGGAAGAGCTCCGTCTTACAGACCCTGCGGAACTGTATAAGGTCCCGCAGGGCCTGGATCTCCTCCGGAAGCTCGTTCCACCAGGCAGGAGCCGCCACCGAGAACGTCCTAGATTTGGTATGGGCCAACCTCGCAGCTCGGGGGCCTGGAACTTCAAGGCAACTTAAATCATTTTCGTGCTGCTGTGACACCGGCTTTCTCTATGCTTGTTTGAATGTTGTTTGGAGAAGATTCTTTTAAAGCAGTGTGGAGGTGCAATGACAGTGGAGCTACTCCGAAAGGACGATACACATATGTGGACGTGCAAAAGTATGCTAGCACTCTTCAGGTGTGAAAATGACACCAAATGTAGACAGCTTTTTTGACGACCGAGTCAAAAGGCTTGGACACTGGTGGGAAAGACAAATGCAGATTCTGCCAGAAAGAGGGCTCTCTCTTGGTGCTGCTCCTTCAGTGGATTGCTCTCTTGCTCACACCCCTGCAATGCCTCACTGCCCCCTGCCTGCTGTGGGAGATGTACTGCACCAAGTCCTTCACCACCAACCCCTGTGCCACCATCTGCCGTCTTCATTTCCTCAACCTGCACTCCCCTCCCCCAGCATGGCTACTCAAACTCTGCTGCTGGCAGAGAAGGAGTAGCCAAAAGAGAAAGGCCTCCACTCCCAGATAATTGACCTCAGGGGGAGCCTTGTGAATTCTTCAGTCAGAAGAAGAGAAGACTCTTTGCTGTAATTTCTTGTCTCCACGAGAACACATGACATGGATGAACTTGGTTGGTCACTGTAATGGAGACCTCTTAATTTCAATATTCAGACAATCAGTAATGTGTGGGATAAGACTTTCTACTTATCACAGTACAGGAACTGCTGAACGTGGTTAAAGGTGGTGTAATGTTCAGTGTTAAGTAGTTATGAGCAAAGAGCTGTTGAGTAGCATCTACCCTCCCATGCATGGTGGTTTTTACCCAATGGTTATAGAGCTATGTCTGCCTTCTAAGTTTAGATGGAAACTAGGAGTGCTGGTTGATTAATAACGAATTAAGTAAAATGTGTCTTAATGGTTAATAGAGCAAGTTTCTTAGAATCTTAGGGAGATTTTGCGGGAATAATAGAGAAGAGAAGAGCTGGAATGTAACCTCCATATGAAAAGGCTGTGTACTTTGGAAAGCCAGTTGCTTGGGAGTAGTTCTCTTTGTGCAATGCTTGTTGGTTTCTCAAGAGCATCCATTTGGCTACTGTAGAAAATGGAATGCTGGACTAGATGGGCACTATGGTCATAGTTTGGCTAAGGGTGCCAAAAAGCCTTGGATGGGTCACCATACCAGGTAAATTTGGACTTGTGGGTAACCATACCAAAAAAAATTACGAGGGAAATGTACCCATTGGGTTAACCAAGTTTGAAGTTCCTATATTACTTTGCCCCTGTGTATTGTCGTCATTCTGAACAATCTCTGTATGTTCATGATCAACCATGCTTTGGAAATAAATCTTACTTCTTTGGAACGTGGGTTTGTTATCCTGACGGGATCTGACATTGGGACTCTTGGAATCCTGACACAGGCTGGTGGGCGGAGCCACAAAATGGCTGCCACAAAATGGCTGCCACAGGAGGCGGAGCCAGCCAGCTGCCGCAGCTTCCCTTCAGTCGCACAGTGAAGATCCTTCCGATGTGGCAGCAGCAGCTGCCAAAGCAACATTTTTAAAAATCCGAACCTTACCGCTAATGGGATTTCTAGTGGCCCCTCAGAAGCCCTGCGGGGCAAAAGCTCCACCCAGCCCCACCCACCTTCTAAAAACACTTGGCGCAGGCACTGGCGGGCGCCACGGCACCTACGGGCACTTTGCTGGAGATCCCTGGTGGTTTCCACACAGCCTCTGCCCCTTTCGTCGTCAAGGAACGTGCTGCCTTTTATCTAGCCTGGGATACCAACAGCCACTGAAAGAAGGACCATGGCTGTTCTGAGGGTCTGCCCCAGAGTGCCTGCTGAGGAATCAAAAACTGGGGGGGGGGCATGGGTTGGTCCCCTCCGGGGGGGGGGACAGGGTTGCTGTTTGAAATCTTCCCCTCTGAAGCAGTCAAATGCATGAATTTCAAATTGTCTCCTTCATCAAGCTTAGAGCTACCTGAATCTTGCATAAGCAGCAACCATACTTAATTCACCCTGTGATTGTTCCCATCTATTTGTTTAAATTTTCAATCTGTTCTCTCTTCAGGGAATAATACTATATCTGTCAGAGGCAGGCTTTGAGTTTTAATAATTTATTACATTATCTCCCCCAAAAAACCCTTGAATGTATAAGGATCATTTTATGGGGTTATAAAAAAGCAAAGACATGAAGGGCTCTGCAGTTGTAGATCTTTATATGCTTATATCAAAAAGACTTTAAGTAGGGCTGCCAAGTGGGGGCAGGTAAGCCCCCGCTTTGGAGGCCCTATTTCCGCTGCCGTAGAATCGGGCCCCGGGGGGAACCCCACCCCCGCGTGCATGTCACCAGGAAGTGACGTGGGCATGCCGGGCACGCTGGGGGCGGGGCCACGGCCATACAAGGGAAAACTCTATGGTTTCCCCTTGTATGGCCGTGGCCCCGCCCCCAGCGTGCCTGGCGTCCTCCCGTCACTTCCGGGTGACGCGCGTGCGCACAAGACGAAGATACACTTGGCAATCCTAACTTTAAGCCTGAAATCTCACAGGTGGCTCTTGGCAAACCACAAGGCCAATCAGTGGCTGCAGGAATGAACAGGCCAAGGGCAGCCGTTGAAGAAAATCACTTCTTGCCCAAATGGCTTCTTCAGCAGTTTCAGGCAGGGAACACATCAACGTTCGTGATAAGCTCCTCCTTCCCTCCTTCCCATGCACTGCATATTTTGCATGCATGTTCAGCACCATTATTTCCCCCAGTCTCCTGCTGCTTGGGAGAAATCCCAGATGCATCCTTCTCAACTATGAGTCAAAAACTAGATGTGTTAGGAAGGGGATCTAAGGGCCATTATCTGCACAGTCACGCAGAAAGCCTCTCCTCATTACACGAAATAAGAGTGCGCAGTGGAGGGGAGCTCAAGCGCTCTGCCTGGCTGGGCTCCAGGGCTCACAGCATTTGTTCACCCAGCCTGCTGGAAGAAAATATCTAAAGCTACGGCCTGCAGTAAGAGGATCATTTATTTATTTATCGTATGGCAGAGCTACACCCAGGAAGCATATAATAATACAAAATACGTAACCAGGTTGTCAGAGATGCTTCTATTGCTTAGGGAGGTGGTGAGCTCCCCCCTCACCGGCAGTCTTCAAGGAGTGGCTCTGGACGAACACTCGTCAGGGATTCTTCTATGGGACACATCAGCCTCAAGGTCACCCCCCCCCCCCAATTATGGGTCTATCAATGTTCTGCCATCGTCAGCATAGGGAAAGGTTCGATTACCTTTCAGTTTTTCAGCTAGCAATGTTGCTTCGTGTTCAGAATAATGCATGATGGCTGGAGGCGAGGGAGGCCTCATTCGATCTTCTTCCATTTTGCGCCTGTGACGTTCCTCCCGGGCCAGCATCCTTTGCTTGCATTCCCATTCATAAAAGTCATCTCTTGCCTGTGCAAAATCAACATGAAGGCGACCTGAATCCTTTTTGTCTGTGCTGGATCCTAACCTCATGCGATAACCTGAAAACAACAAGGAAAAACATCGCAACATTTCCTTCCCTCATATTCGTTTTTTAGAGATTAACTTTAATCAGTTTTCCCTATTGATTAAATTGTCATGCCCGTGTATTGGTACCCTGGCACTTGAGGCATGCCTATAAAGACTCTTTTTCTTTGGGAAATGTGAAGGCACTCAAGGATTTGCCTATGTTTTAAAACCACATCCCTTTGGCTGATGGACTAAAGGAGCAGACAACATCACATATTTTGGATCCAGATTTTGAACATTACAAAGCTTTGGTCATTCTAATGCACTTCTTAAATGCTTTCTTTTAGGCGGCAGGCGAAAATGTTTCCTTTCACCCACACTTTTAGTTAAAGGGTTGACCTTTTATCACTATTTTAGTCTGGAAACTGTTATTTAAGTCATCAGTGGCCTGTTTTAGGGGGGGGGGGTTGTCAGCTGCCTCAGGCAAGTTCCTGGCAGTGGGGCATAAACTTTTTCTTAATAAAATAAACCACAGGTCCCCCAACTGGTGCGCGTGGGCATCATGGCAGCTGCCAACGCCTTTCCGGGAGCCTGCCGGTTGGGGTTGGGTCAGGTGGGGCTTCTGCCCAGCAAGGCTTCTGATCGGCCACTGGAGATCTGACTGGCTGTGGAGATTTTTAAAAACACAAATTTGGCAGCTGCCGCCACCACAGCACAAGATCTTTACTGTGTGACTGAAGGTGAGCTGTGGCAGCCAATTTTGTGGCTGGCTCCGCCTTCTGTGGTGGCTACTGTGTGGCAGCCATTTTGTGCCACTGCCCACCATATTGTACCATAATTCCAGTGGTGCCCCTGAAATAAGCAAACAGATAAATGTAACCTGAGGGTCAACCCCTGCACAAAACGGAGAAGCCTAGATGTTCAGCTGACTCACAGAGGTCTGGGAAGGTGCACTTCTCTGCATGCCTTTCCATGACCTACAACCAGCATGCCTGAGTCACATCTCCTATGACTAGGGCATCGGGGGGACGGGACACAAACAAACTAATCTCCTCAGAGTGTCAAATCTTCTATTGAAAAACTCCAAAAATAATTAATGATACAAATATAGCCTGCCACATCTCAGGGCCTCAGGACAGGTGATAGAAATGAATAAAGGCATGAGAACTGCCTGAGCCTGCTTTGCGGGGAGGGCGAGGAGTGAATCCAATGAATGAATCGAATGAATGAAGGAAAGAATGCATGAAATATGTTGAAGCACAGCCCAATCTCTTCACATCTGTTAAAGCCAAACAGTTGTCAGCTATGCTGTCATAAGGGTTGGGGGTGTCTCAAGTATCGCTGCATTCTTTCTTTGCTTCTGTAATGCTTGCTTATCTATGGCCTTGCAGGTGGTGTGAGTTGTTTGGACTTCAGGGAACCGTGGGAGCGCTTTCGGTTCTCAGCTTCGGCTCTAACGGCCTGGGGCTCCTTCTCCCACGCATGTGAATGTGGCTAATTGGCCTAAGGATGAATATGCTAAAGCCTTTGACTGTGTGGATCACAACAAACTATGGCAGGTCCTTAAAGAGATGGGAGTACCAGACCACCTCACATGTCTCTTGAGAAACCTGTCTAAGGGTCAAGAAGCAACAGTTAGAACCAGATATGGAACAACTGATTGGTTTAGCATAGGAAAAGGAGTACGACAAGGATGTATATTGCCACCTTGCTTATTTAATATATATGCAGAGTACATCATGCGAAATACTGGCCTGGATGAATCACAAGCGGGAATTAAGATTGCTGGGGAAAAGATCAACAACCTCAGATATGCAGACGATACCACTCTAATGGCAGAAAGTGAAGAGGACCTTAAGAGCCTCTTACTCAGGGTAAAAGAGGAGAGCGCAAAAGTGGGCTTGAAGCTCAACATAAAAAAAAACTAAGATCATTGCATCCGGCCCCATCACTCCTTGGCAAATAGAAGGGGAAGTCGTCGAAGTAGTGACAGACTTCACATTCCTGGGATCCCAGATAACCGCAGATGGTGACAGCAGCCATGAAATTAAAAGACGCCTGCTCCTTGGGAGGAAAGCGATGGCGAACCTATACACCATGATGAAAAGCAGAGACATCACCCTGCCAACAAAAGTCCGCATGGTCAAAGCAATGGTATTCCCAGTAGTCATGTATGGCTGCGAGAGTTGGACTATAAGGAAGGCCGAGCGCCGAAGAATAGATTCTTTTGAACTATGGTGCTGGAGAAGACTCTTGAGAGTCCCTTGGACTGCAAGAAGATCAAATCAGTCGATCCTAAAAGTAATCAGCCCTGACTGTTCCCTGGAAGGCCAGATAATGAAACTGAAGCTCAAATACTTTGGCCACCAAATGAGAAAGGAGCACTCACTGGAGAAGTCCCTGATCCTGGAAAAGATTGAAGGTCAAAGAAGACGGGGATGGCAAAGGATGAGATGGTTAGACAGTGGCACAGATGCAACGAACATGAAATTGAGCAAACTTCAGAGGACGGAGGAAGACAGGAAGGCCTGGCGTGATCTGGTCCATGGGGTCGCGAAGAGTCGGACTCGACTGTGCGACTGAACAACAACAACAACATATTTTCTTTATGTAATTGTGAGGTACTGTTTTCATTTCGTTATTATTTGTGTAATCTGGATTTATTGCATTGTTTTCTGTATGCCTCACACTGATCTTTGTTGCCTGGTTTTCAGACGTCTGCCATCCCCCTTCATTCCTCCTGCCTTTTGGCCCCTGGGCTGCCAGACCATCCTCAGAGCAGCGGCACTGGACTGCCCCTCGGCTCTTGGCAGGGCTTGCAGAGTACAGACTGGAGAGCCAGTGTGGTGTAGTGGTGAGCGTGTCTGACTAGTACCTCGGAGAGCCAGGTCCAAATCCCACTCGTGCCGTGGGAGCTCACTGGGTGACCTTGGGCCAGTCACTGTCTCACAGCCTAATCTACCTCATAGGGTTGTGGTGAGGATAACATGGAAGAGAGGAGAATGATGTGAGCCGCTTTGGGTCCCCTTTGGGGAGAAAGGTGGGGTATGACATCAATAAAATCAGAGTATGTTCTCAGCTGGTTTTTGGTATTGTGCCTCCTCTTACCCTTCCATCTCATCTGCACCCACTGACTGTCCCCAAGTATCAGAGAGCTTTTCTTTTGGCCAACCTAAATACTTCCCCAACTGCTGTTCGGGTGGCTAGATTCCAAGGAACACCTTACTTGGATAGACTACATGCATCTGGTGCTATCGCAACTTTATTCCATATTTTCTGTAATTCTGTGTCGATTGCCCCTCTGAGAGATCTGTGGATACAGATGGGGATAGTTTCCAAGTGTTTCCTTGTCTCTATGCCTGACAAATAAATAACCTGCCTCCAATATCTGTGAAAAGGCTGGATCATAAAGGAAGTGAGTAAATGAAAAAGAAATAAATAAGACTGTGGGGGTTCTGGCTGCATGGACGAGCCCCTGCTTGGCCTGCAGTTGGTGCCTGGTTCAAACCTCAGCATCTCCAGCTCAAAGGACCAGGCAGTAGGCAGAGAGCGTCTCCCAGTCTGAGTGGACGATGCTGACCTTGGTGGGCTGATGGCCCGATTCCGAGGGCTTCACGTGTATGTCCACCTGTGAGACTCAGTCACTAAAACACGTTACCTTCCACCACATAGCTGCTACCTCATCCCTGGTCGCAAAAAGCAGGCCCAGTTTGCTCAGCCTTGGGCCAGGACAGCGAACTGGCCATAGGTGCTGGCCTTGGAACAAGACCGCAAACATTGTCATATACATTAAAATGGTGGTCACCATCCTACAGTAAACATTTTTTAGCAGTTGTAAGAGATCCTGGCTCATAATCGCATGTAAATAATGTCCGAAGTTGTCAGAATGGGTAGCAGAACCTCAGGGAGGCCATATATGGGCGTCCGCTGCCTCAGCCAAAGGCCTGGCGGAAGAGCTCCGTCTTGCAGGCCCTGCGGAATGGAAGGAGATCCCTATGCAGGGCCCTGATCTCAGTGGGGAGCATGTTCCACCAGGCGGGGGCCAGGACAGAAAAGGCCCTGGCCCTGGTCGAGGCAAGAAGGACGTCGTTCGGGCCAGGGACTACCAGGAGGTGTTGATCCATAGAGCGTAGTGCTCGTCGGGGTGTGTATGGGAACGGGTGGTTCCTCAGATACGTTGGTCCCAGGCCGTGTAAGGCTTTAAGGGTTATTACCAACAGTCACCTTGAAGCGGATCTGGAGCTCAACTGGCAACCAATGCAGTTGGCGGAGCACCTGCCAAACATGAGCCTGCACAGGCGTTGCCCTTAGTAGGCACGCCACCACATAATGTACCAGCTGTATTTCCGGGTCAGCCTCAAGGGTAAGTCTCCATAGAGCAAATTGCAGTAGTCAAGCCTGGAAATGACCATTGCATGGGTCACTGTAGGCAAGTCTTGGGGGGGGGGGAGAGCTAGGGTCTCAGTAACCTTATTTGCCAAAGATGGAAGAAGACAGATCGGGTAACCATAGCAACCTGGGCCTCCCTAGAAAGAGAGGCATCCAGTGTTACTCCCAGGATCCTCACTTTTTATTTATTTATTTATTTTTCAAATTTATACCCCCCCCCTCCCCACCAAGGCAGGCTCAGGGGGGCTTATACGAGGTAAATACATAAATAACAATCAAATTACCATAAAACATCTAAAAACAGTTCATTAAGAGAATACAATACTAAAGCGCTTCCAACGTGGGGAGCCTAATTACCCAGATCTCCTCCCTTCTGACTCAGGTACAGGACCTCCACTTTCAATGAATTAAGCTTCAGCCGACTCTGCCACAACCATCTAGCCACAGTCTCTCCAGTGCCTCGACCAGATGATCAGGGGTGGAAGGCAGCTGGTCATCCAGTCACAGATAGAGCTGGGTGACATTTGCATATTGATGGCATGCCAGCCCATACCTTCGGACTAACTGGGTAAGGGGGCACATATAGGAGGAGGAGGAGGAGATTGGATTTATACCCCACGGCCCTTCACTACCCAAGGGAGTCTCAGGGCGGCTGACAATCTCCTTTCCCTTCCCCTCCCCACAACAGACACCCTGTGAGGTAGGTGGGGCTGAGAGAGCTCTGACAGAAACTGCTCTTTTTCGAGAACAGCTCTGACAGAACTACAGCTTGCCCAAGGTCATCCAGCAGGTGCAAGTGGAGGAGTGGGGAATCAAACCCGGTTCTCCCAGATTAGAGTCTGCGCACTTAACCACTGGCGAGAGGATCGCCCCCTGTGGCACCCCACATTCCAGTGGGTATCATGGGGAGATTCTCTTGCCTAGTGCCACCCTCTGTCCCCGACCATGGAGAAATGAAGAAAACCATTGCAAGGCTGTCCCCTGAACTCCAACGTTGGTGAGGTGGTGGGTCAATAAATCATGATCGACCGTGTTGAACACTGCTGTCAGGTCTAGTAATAAAAGCAGCACCGATCTGCCCCGATCCAGATGTCTATGGACGTCATCTGTAAGGGCGACCACAGCCGTCTCCATCCCATGGCCAGGGCGGAAACCAGAGTGGAAAGGATCAAGGATGGTAGCATCGTCCAGGAAGGCCTGAAGTTGTTCAGCCACTGCTCTCTCAACCACCTTGCCCTGGAACAGTAAATTCAACACTGGGCAGCAGTTGGCCGGGATCGTAGGGTCCAGTGTTGTTTTTTTCAGGAGCAGATGGACTACTGCCTCCTTCAGAGTCCCTGGGAGAGGAGAAGGGAGGCACTGCCTGTGTGCTTCTCTGCCATTTCCTTTGTTCCATTAAAGGAGTCATTCATAAATACACAGATGGAAACTGACCAACTAGATAAAACAGATGGTGTGATAACAAGACCCTTGGTGAAGCAAGTGGGACTTCTGCTAGCACAGCACTTTTAGGGCGGGGGGGGGGGCGGAGGTATATGATTTACTACTCTACACATACAGTATGTAAATGGCAACAATAGGGCTGTGTCATGAATATTGTAGTTTGCCATGAATTATGTATTCTGCTTTTATGTCTCCCCTCTATTATAGCCTTGGAAAATTATGCTTTTCCATTGCTACTTCAGAGGGTTTTATGTTTGAAAACATAATAAAGATCATCTAGGAAAAACAGTAATTCAATGCAATTAAAGCCAAGCCTCTTCCTTGCACACGGCAGTGCTGGAAGGCCACCAGGAGTCAGGGGTGGGAGGTTCTCACGGAGGGCTCCTGACGGCGTTCTGGCCCTGAATGGGAGCTGACTGGTGCAAGGAAAGATAAGTGGTTTTAACTGCACTGAACTACTGGCTTCCCGAGAAGATCTTCACTGAAGAGATTATGACATGCCGGGATAAACTACCTGAAGCATGCATGTTTCCTCCTGAGGACAGGCATGCCATAGAAGGAGACAGGAATGAGGTGGATGAGTCCGGGAGGCATGGCCGGTGCCACTTCAGACTACTGGGGTGGGTGGGTTACATTTTTGAATCTCCGTGTAATAAAACCGCTTCCAATTTAAAAAAGCACATCCAGAAAATATGTTGTAGCTCCACCCTTTCACCTGCTTTGCTGTTCTTTCTACTTAGAGTGATCTTTTAGCATTTGAAACCTGCAGCCAGAAGTGGTGCAGTTTGTCCCACCACAGCTTTCTGGTGTGCTTGTGGGACTGTGCCTGACTCCCCCAGCCTTGCAGCCCCCCCCCCCCGCTTTTCTGATACAGGGGACTTTGCGGAAGCCCAGCTCAGCAGATGCTAAATGGTTCCTTTGTCTGCTATTCTGCATTGGTTCTCTTTCGCTCTCAAGAGTTTTAGACGCCTGTCCTTGTGGGCTGATATGGACAGTGCCTCCATCTTCAGCAGCGATGTGCATTTAATGTTCACTGAAGGGAGGGGAAGACTCACGCCTCCTCACGTGGCCTCCCACTGGGATAATAATTCTGGAGAGACTGCTGCACCACTCCCACTGCAGCACAAATAAACAGGACCTTTGTGGCTAACACAGATTCATTCCAGTTGAAGCTTTCACGGAGTAGAACCCACTCCTTTGTCTGTCACAGAAGACAAACAAAAAGGCCGTAAGAACGCAGTACGTACCAGAAAGGTAAATGGCTTTATCAACCATGAACTCTTCTGCAAAACGGATGTGACAAAAATTCTTCTTGCTTTTCCGAATTGCTGTGATGTCCCCACAGTGCTCAAAGACTTCCTGAATGATTTCTTCAGTAGCGTTTTCTGGTAACCCTCCGACAAATACAGTTTTACACCCAGGAGGCCTTTCTCTTGTTGAAGGTGGTGGAAGATCTAAGAAAAAACATAAGTCCACGCCAGGGTTGGCTCTTCTTCCTTTTTATTCATTCATAACCCCATAATGAATCTTAGACAGACAATAAAGTATTCCAGTTAACAACAACCGGTGAATCATCCAAGATTCAGCTAATCAAACCAAGCCCTCCCCCCCCCCCCCCCTTTGGGGGGGTGCTCCCAATGCTTCCAAAGAACTGTGGATGAAAGACTGAAAATACTGTGAAACGAAGGGGCATTTTGGTATTAAAATACTACTCAGATGACACCTTAATTTTTGACGTCAGATATTAAAATAGTACTAGCAGTGGTGTTCACTTCATGAATCCAAATCACTTGTAGTATTTATCGCCCAAGCAAAATTCAACGCAATGAAAGGGAAAAATTCTTTAAAGCAGGGCCCAAAAAATTAGCATCCACAGTGCTACAGTGGGTGGGTCACTCAGGGAATCTGCTTGGCTGCAGAGGGGCAGGGCAGGTCTCACATTCAGCATCTACGACGGCCCAAAGCAACAGGGTTGCCAGACCCTCCAATGGAGGCAGGGCTCCCTGCCGCCAGGCCCCGCCCCCCAGCCACCAATCAGCGGGCTGGGATGGGGACTTCCCAGCAGAAAGAAGAAGCCCTGAGCCATGTTGCTGACATCCCGCAGGAAGTGACGTCATTATGCCAGCGACTTCCAGGCGACACTCTGGTATCTGGGCAAAAAACCTCTAGGGTAGAAGCCAGTTTTACCATAGTTTTTGCCCAAATACCAGAGCACCACCTGGAATTTGCTGGCATGATGACGTCACTTCCTGTGTGATGCCAGTGACGTGGCTCAGGCCTTCTTCTTTCTACTGGGACCCGGCAATCCCACAAACGAAAGAGCCCAAGGGGACTTCTGCGCTCATGTTCCTCCCATAGCAAGCTGCTTTGGAAATGGAGGGACTTTCAGAAGCCGCTTATGACCGGACTTGTGGTGTCTGGGGGGGAAAGTAAAAGATCTCATTGGGCACGCCCAAGCCAAAGGACTTCTCCAGAGTGGTTCTTTGGAACCAGGCTGTTGTTCATAGGGTTGCTGGGTCCCCTCCTCGCGCCGGTGGGGGGATCTGGTGGGCAGGGAAGCCTCAAGCCCCGCCCCAAGCCCCACCCCCTGAGAGTAACCACCCACCCGGCCACCCCTCCCCTCCTGCCCGAGTTAATGGCAGCCTCAGAGGCAGAGCGACGACGCTTCCTATTAGACATAAGGCCCGATTACTCCTGCCCCTTATCCTTGAAACAGTAAAGATTGCAACCATCCTGGGAGGTTGGGCAGAAATGCTCCGAAAAATTGCC